GGGGACCTGGTGTGGCCCGAGTGCTGTGTGGGTCTGTGGTCCTGCCCCTCCTGCTTCCAGAGGTCCAAGAGCCCGGCTCCTCCCACTCCTCTCTCCAAGGACGGGCAGCCACCTGGCTCAGTGCCCCCCAGGGGTGGACAGTGCACCGTCCCCCTGTGCACGTCCCACTCTCAGACTCTGCTCACCCTCCTGCCCAGCCAGCGGGGTGGCGGCCTCCCCCCAGGCCTGCAGGAACCCGCCCAGACAGGGGAGGGGAGAAGCCCGTGCGACAAGGAGGCAGGAGCCACTGCCCAGGGCCTGAGGGCCATGGAGGGGCAGGGACACCATCCACCAGCACCCAGGACCCTGCAGGGAGCACGGTGAGCTCCCTGGAGCCAGGTGGGCAGCACTTTTGTCCAGGGATCCAGGAACCCAGAGGTGACCCTGTGGGCCCAAGGAGGCATGTGACCTTGAGTTCCCTTGGGGTCTGTCACCTGTAGAGCCTCCAGGGGTTCCAGGACCTACCTGTCTCCCCATGGTGTTCATCAGTGTGATTGTCAGCTTTTCGTCACTGTGACAAAACACCCGAGAAAAACAACTCAGAGGAGGAAAAGTCTCTCTTGACTCATAGTCTCAGAGGTCTCAGTCTGTGGGTGGCGGGCCCCATTGCTTTGGGGCTGGGGTGCGACAGACCATCATGGTGGTGAGCATTTGTGGCTTGGGAGGCTGTCACCTCATGGCAGCCAGGGAGCAGAGAAGGAATCTGGGACAGTCCCCAAGGGCAAGCCCCCAAGGACCCACTCCCTCCAACCAGGTTCCCTTTCCTACAGTTTCCACTGCCTCCCAATAAAGACATCAAATTCTGGCTCCACCAGCTGATCACACCCCCCGACGAGGGCAGAGGCCTCATGATCCAATCACATCCCGAAGCCCCACCGGAGAACACTGCAGCCCTGGGGACCGAGCCTTCAACCCACGAGCCGTTGGGGACATTCCAGACCCAAACCATAACCCCACGCCAACCCACGGTGTGGGGAGAGAAGCTGCGGTGACCGTCCCAGCTTGTCATCCACGTGGACTCTGCCCAGCAGGGCCGGCAGCCATGGGTACCTCTGCACTCTCTGCCGTCCTGCAGCCACCCCGCCGCAGGCAGCCCCAGCATGCTTCCCAGGGACCCCTGTTCCCTTTGACGGATGGGCAAGGCCACCTGCAGCTGGGGAGCCACAGGTGATGGAGGCCCATCTTGCATTCCTCACTCTGTCACTGGTCATCACAAAGTGCCCTTCAGGACAAGAAGTTATTTTAAGAAAGAGAAAGAAAGTCGACAGAGGAGGCTCCTTCTACCCAGTCAAACCCTGGGGACGAATCAGTGCCACCCAGGCCCAGCCCAGGGCTCCCACTGCGGTCCAGGTCTGAGCCTACAACTCATCCCCTGTTAGCAGGGTCATGGCTGCTCCCCAGCCTCCTCTAAGCCTTCCCGCCCTGTCTGTGCAGCCGAGGAGAGGACTGAGCACCCCTGGCACGGAGCAGCATAGCAGCCCGAGCCCCACACTGTGCCTGGAGCAGGCTCGAGGCCCACCCACCCACCTCCTAACTGCCCTGTCCCATCACCCACAGTGCAGGATGAGGAGACTGAGGCCCAGAGAGGGTGCAGCTACTCAAGGTCACAGGATGAACAAGTGGCTTCAGGGTCAGAGGACTCCAGGTGGTGTCCAGGCCCGACCACCCTCCAGCTTGTGACACCAGCCAGCCTCTCACTGGGGCCTCAGCTGACCTCATTAGCAAAGTGAAGGGGACAGCGGTCCCTGCCCCTCAGGCTGCTGGGAGGGCTAAGCAGGGTGTGGCTGGGGTGCTCTGAGGACACCTGGCACACAGTCACCACAGGGATAGTGACAGCCACTCACTGTCCCCTGGTGCTTCCTGGGTTTCACCTGATGGAACCTCTTAGCTGGAACTTGCTGTTATAACCTTTTACAAAATGTGCTTCTGTCTCTAGTTGACAGATGGAGAAACGAGGCTCAGAGGATCGTCATTTACTGACGTCCCAAGATAATGAAGGGCCATTTCCTGTGCTTCTTTCCTTTTTGACTCAATTTTCTTCTGTCCAGTTTATTGAGCAAATCTTCCTCCTCACCTTCCAAATCCTCCTGGTTCTGGAAGTCTACATCCTGTTCCTCTCCACGTACTAGTTACCTTCAGCTTAAAGAAGGGCACAGGGCACTGGCCTAACAGTCTGAGGCTTAGAGAGACCCTCCCTCCCCCTGAACACAGCCGGCCCTTGACCCTCATCCCCCTTTCCGTCTTGATGTTAGTGTTTTCTAGAGCTGCGGTTCCTCTTCTTTCTGTACAGCCCCTAGATGAGCTCTGTCTCTTGTCACTGCGGGCTTGGCCTGCTCCCATCTGACTAGTGATGGGTTGACGTGTGACTGGTTGATGTGCCTCCCACGATGACATTTCTACACGCTGTTGCTGAGGGCATCTCTCCTGAAATCAGCTCTTATTTGTTCTTTTAGCAAAATCTCACTGGTAGTAAATTCTTTCAGTTTTTTTTTCCTGAAAAAAATATGTATTTTTTATCCCTCAACTAGGATGGTATAGATGGAACCAGAAATGTCCTTTGGCAGTTCTTTCTCTTGACATCGGAAAAAAAAAAAAAAAAGATGGTTCCATTGTCTTCTGGTCTCTGTTGTTGCGCTGGGTAGTCTGCCGTCTTTCTTCAGCAGTGCTCTGTCACGATGTCCTTCCTCTGGTTGCTGCCTCCTTCTCACCCCTCCTCCTCTTCCTCCTCCTCCTCCTCCTTTTTCCTTTTCTGTTTAATATACACCCTTTTTTGATGTATAGCAAAAGCTCACTCTTACTCCATTTCAATCTCTACCCCCTACCAACAGCACCACTTCTAACACCCTAAATTGGCTTTACTTGGTTTAGAATTTGTTAATAAATATCTTTTACAGTTTATATTCATATTTTATAAATAAATGTAGTATGTTCTCATCTGTGCCTGCAGGTTTGTTTTTGGTTTAGTTTTGTTTTTTGCTTTTCAACATTCTGTTTGTAGTTGTATTTCACAGATTCCTGTACCTATCTGTCTGTCTATCTATGTAGGTAGATAGGTCTAGACATATGGCTTGTTTAGGATTTGTTCCACATATTGAATCTAATAGCCATCTTTTATAAATCCTGTAAAATTCTTGTCCCTTATTGGGTTTAAGCATTTTTCCT